GACAGTACAGTACTAAATAGACATCGATTAGTATTTATCCCAATACCAAAGAAAGGCGATATTAAAGACTGTTCCAACCACCGAATCATAGCCTTGATACCACCTGTGAGGAAAATTCTCTGGAAGATCATCAAGCAACATTTGAATCCAACTGCCAATAAGAAAATTTCAAGCTATTCTGCAAAGCACCTGAGGGCAGGACAAGAAGCAATTCGTGGAAACTAATCAATGAGAGAAGCAACTTAGAACTAAGAAAGAAATTTCCTGACAGTTAGAACAATGAACCAGTGGAAGAACTTGCCTCCAGAAGTTGTGAATGCTCCAACACTGGAAGTTTTTAAAAAGAAATTGGGCAAACATTTGTCTGAAGTGGTATAGGGTTTCCTGCCTAAGCAGGGGGTTGGACTGGAAGACCTCCAAGGTCCCTTCCAACTCTGTTATTCTATTGTCTATTGATTTTGGAAAGGAAGAGGAACACCAATCTATGTTGGTTGATGGAAAAAGCCAAAAAGACCCCTTCATGTGCTTCATTGACTAGACAAAAGCCTTTAATTGTGTAGACCAGGATTTCTCAACCTTCCTTGTTATAAGACGGATGGACTTCAACTCCCAGAATTGCCCAGCCAGCCGTGACTGACCGAATAGCTGGCAACGATGATGATTTAGCGTGGTTTTACTTGCAAAGTTGCTTTGGGAGGAAATGGGTTGACGGTCTGGTCCAAAGTTTTTAATTTCTGGGATGGAGTCAGTAGATCAACAAGAAGCAAGTCAGAAACGTTATAAATAAAATCCTAAAAGGAAACTAAATCAAGTCTAGCAGAGGCAGGCAAGTCAGCCTTGAAGTTTGAGGGCCAGAATCTTAGGATAAGGCATTTTAACGCCTGCTTCTCTCGCCCTAGAATTAAACTGTCAGCTGCTCCAGATAAATATTATTTGCTGGGTGCAATTTGGGCTCTGCACTTTGTGGCGGGCTGATTACTCAACTCCAGATGGGAAGGGAACAAAGGACGTTTCTGGGCAGGGGGGCGGCTGGCATTGTGGGAAGAGGGTCCCCCCTAATTACTGACTCAGAAGAGAGGGAACCGACAGGTTGTCTCCCATTTGGGGGGAATTATGGAGGCGGAAGATGTTCCTTCTGCGTCAAGATTCCTGGAAGAAGAATCTCTGCTCCGCGCGGGATTGTGCAAAATGCAAAGGAAGCTGAATCCTGGGATGAGTGAACTAGCATAGTTAAGTTGCATTAACAGAGGGATACAATCAAGATCAAATGAGGTGCTAATAATACTCTCTATAGAGCCTTAGTAAGACCACACCTGGAGTATTGTATCCAGTTTTGATCACCACACAATAAAAAAGAGGTTAAGACTCTGGAAAGAGTGCAGAGAAGAGCAACTGGGATGATGAGGGGACTGGAGGCTAAAACATACAATGAACGGTTGCAGGAACTGGGCATGGCTAGTCTAGTGAAGAGAAGAGAAGGACCAGGGGAGACAGGAGGGCAGTCTTCCAATATTGGAGGGGCTGCCCCAAAGAGGAGGGGGTCAAGCTATTCTCCAAAGCACCTGAAGGCCAGACAAGAAACAATGGATGGAAACTGATCAAGGAGAGATTCAACCTGGAAATAAGGAGAAATTTTCTGACAGTGTGAACAATCCATCAGTGGAACAGAAGTTGCCTTCAGAAGTTGTGGGAGCTTTCAAGAAGAGACTGGACTGCCATCTATCAGAAATGGTGTAGGGTTTCCTGCTTGGACGAAGGTTGGACTAGATGACCTATAAGGTCCCTTCCAACTCTGTTATTCTAATTCTAAAATAGTTGAATGTTAGGTTGGGAGATATCTTGGATATCACCTTACCCAGTGTTTCTCAACTCTGGCCACGACTGGTAGTGGACTTCAAGTACCAGAAGTCTTCGGTCAGCACGCTGGCAGGGAATTCTGGGAGCTGAAGTCCACAGAACATTGGGAAACGCTGCTCTTCTTCAATCCTCTGACCTGAGCATGAATCCATCATGGACATCCCTCCTCAGCTGAGACACTTCATCTGTTGGGAATCCACCTTTTTTTTTTTGTGCTCAAACAGTCTGTTCTGCTCTTAGAGCATTTTTAAATAATTCAAAAGAGCCTATTTTTAAAGCAAAGTCAAAGGATTTCTGCAAGAACAGCTCTGTGAAGGCTGAAGAGGGGCCGATAAATCTTGAGCTTCTAAGAATTAACGAACCAGTTAACAATTCCATTAGCCGTCACCTAAGGGTACCAGCGGACTTTCTAATTTAGGAAAGGTCAAGCAAAGGAGGGCACAACACAAAACACACCGGCACTGAAGAAATTTAATAAAACAGAGTGACAGAGTTGGAAGGGGCCTTGGAGGTCTTCTAGTCCAACCCCCTGTTCCAGCAGGAGACTCTATACTGGGTTGGACTAGAAGACTCCAAACTCCCTTCCAGCTCTATTCTGATTATTATCTTCTCCAATTGCTGTGGCCCATCAGTGGCCTGTGCAGCTAGTAGCTGATTCCAACAGCAAGGAGGCTGGTGTGGTACTGCGCCAGCAGCCTGTGCAGCTGGCACTTGAGTCAAACAATGAGGAGGCTGGAGAAGATGTGGTGCCAGAGGCGGGGATTCAGCCAGGGCCTTCAGAACCTCCAGAAGTGAAGAGGACGAAGTGGAGGAGCCTCTTCTCGATGCACGGGCGCGCAGAGCTGCCAAAAGGCAGGAGTGACTCCTCAGGAGGAGGTCTCCTCGAGAGTAAGGCTTGGGGCTAATTGGCCACTCCCTTAGCCTATTTAAGGAGGAACGCCGACTGAAGCAATTTGCAGGGAACAACTTCGTTCACTCTCCTTCGCGTCTTGATCTTAGTTCTCTGCAAATTGCTTCTGGGCTTTCTGCCAACCATAGTAAGATTACGATTATTTATTCTTTGGATTCTTGTTGGCTGTTAAGAAAGTTAATTAACAGCCTTTGTTTGAAAAAGACTGATTTAATTTAGTAAACTAAGTTTTGTACAGACTTTGTGTGGGCTGCGTTCTTTGGGGTCCATAGCTGGGGCAGAACACCAAAATTGTTTGCTAGTCTGGTCTGGCCTAGTCTTTAGAATAGAATAACAGAGTTAGAAGGGACCTTGGAGGTCTTCTAGTCCAACCCCCTGCTTAGGCAAGAAACTGGTCTGATTGGTCTGGTCTGGTCTGATTTACCCTATCCTATCCTACCCTAGTCTATCCTATTTGGCCCTAAATTTCCAACTAACAGATTTCATTTAAAGGCATACACTCCGAAAGGCTTAGTGATTTACATAAAATTTGCTAGTGTTGTGGCTCCGTTGCCTGAGCCTGGGCTATCGACAGATGCAGACTCTGAGAGTGAGGAAGAGGAGTTGGCAAGGCCTCCCTCTCCAGGACCCTCCTCTCTGGTAATGCCTCCGGAGGACACCGAAGGCCAAGAGATAGGCCCAGAGCCAAGCACGTCCCTGCAGCCACAGGTGGACAGCGACGAAGTAGATAAGTGCTGGCTGGATCCTCGGCAGCAGCGCAGGGAGAAGCGTGCGCAGCAGAGGGAAAGGTGTGCCAGAGATTAGCTGAGTCACTGGACCACACCCCACAGGGTATAAATGGCCGGTTCAGTTTGTGACGAGCAAAAACTAGAAATAATCCATGATCTCTGCATTACTGGACTTCTGCCTGCCTTGTTGGACTGCATTTGGACTAATCCTTGTATTGTTGAAACTTTGCCTGCTTTATCGGAATGCTTGCAGTCTAATCTTTGTTTTGTGTGAGTAAAGTCTGAATTGGCAGCTAGCCACTGGGTTGCTGCCAGCTTTATCTTCAAAGATTTTGTCGTGTGGCTTATTAACTCCGGGCCGTCTGTGGGGGTGCGTGAGTGGAACGGGGACAGAACAGCTAGCTGGAAAAGCTGTTACCAGATTCCTTGCAATTTTCAGGGAAAATGGGCAACAGAATTGGGCATGGCGGTGCAGGAGGCAACAAGGAATATGAAAAAGCATCTCTGGAAATAACTACCTTGTTTCCCCAAAAATAAGACATCCCCTGATAATAAGCCCAATTGGGCTTTCCCAGAAAATAAGCCCTCCACAAAAATATTTAAACACATGTACAGCCGGTCCCCGCCATTTCCTCTGGTTAGAGTTAGGGAGACAGAACTAGAAATCAGGTAAAGCAGCAAGTGGATTCCCATCTTGCTCCACGCGCCCCAAAATAATAAGACCTCCCCGAAAATAAGGCCAAGCGCTTATTTCGGGGTTAAAAAAAATATAGGACAGGGTCTTATTTTTGGGAAAACATGGTAGGACTCTTCTACATGGTAGCTGAATCTTCCACAATAGATACCCCCCGCCCATTTGAAGTGGGGATAAAGTCCTGCAAGCTGATTTGTCCTTTCTTTAGGCTAATCAGAGTTGGAAGGGACCTTATGGGTCATCTAATCCAACCCCCCCGTCCAAGCAGGAGACCCTACACCATTTCTGACAGATGGCAGTCCAGTCTCTTCTTGAAAGCTTCCAGTGATGAAGTTCCCACAACCTCTGAAGGCAACTTCTGGGTTGATTGCTCTCACTGTCAGGAAATTTCTCCTTAGTTCTAAGTTGCTTCTCTCCTTTATAAATTTTAATTTACAAAAATTAAATGCCCAGCGAGCATGGCATGGGCATTCTTCGAAAATAAAAAGGATGGTGTCAGCGTTCCAAATTAGGCTCTCTTCCAGCGCTGACATGAACGAGATGAAGCATAGAGCAGAAGCTTGATTTATTGCTGAGATGAACTTTTACCTAGTTTTTTGTATGTTACAGATAGTGTTTCCTGGGTGACGAGGGTGGGGGCCACATTCCTGTGAAAAGAACGTGCCGGGATGTAGAGATGGATCTGCATGATGGCCAATGGGACATTGGGGTTGGAGAGCGGAAGAGGAGGGGGTTGGAAGGAGGGGCCAGTTTGGCTGCAACTTGAATCAGGAATGTCGGATTCTGCTATTCTTAAAATAAAAGTGATTCATTAGAGACTTTGCGCTTGAGAATGAAGTTTATTTAAGATAGCACCAAAACCTGACAGATGGGTTGGCTCACAAGGCTCTTTCAGGAATGAATAAAGGGCATTGGAAATTCACTTTTGCAAGCTACTGTAAAAGCAGGCATCCATTTTTTAAATCAAATAACTATGGTAGTTGCTCCTTTGCAGATTGGGGACCCCACTGGCGAGGTGACAGCATGCACAAGCATTGAACAGCTGCGATCGACGTTGGGCTCGGAGCAGAGCAGTGAGGGGACTGATGCCTCGGTTTCTGCCGGATATGAAATCCAAGGTAAGTTGTGTTCTTCCAGGATCTTTTCTTTTTGTCCTTCCAATTTGTTCTCTGCCTTCTCTTGGTCTGGCGAACAGCAAAACTGGTCAAGGAAACCAGTTGGGGAAAGTTGTTTTGTGGACTGGCTAAGATGTTCAGAGCAGATTGTTTTTCCTTCGTTCATGAGTCTGTTCTGTCCTCCGGTAGAAAGTTCGCCTGTTTCTCTGGGGCAAAAGTAGGTTTTTTTTAAAACACAAATTGCATTTGGTGGAGGAGGTGATTAAAAGCTGCCATGGAGATGGGGAAAGATTTTCTGTTTGCCTCCATGCAAAAAAAATAACAGGTACGAAGTTGGAACAGAGATTGGGGGATTGCCAGAGATCATGTGATGCAAGCATGGTTAGTCCTCAATGCTTTGAAGTTATAACAGTGTGTGTGTGTGGGGGGGAGAAATGACTTATGACTGCTGCTCACACTTATGACCATCACAATGTCCCCGCAGTCATGGGTTCCGACGGATGCCCTAATTAAACCATGAGCCTAGTTTCAAAATAAATCCAGTTATTTATTAGGAGCAACATGTCAGCATGTACCCAAGTGAAGTCAGCTCTGCCCCATGTAATTTACGGCCCAACTATGACCCTGTTTCCCCCGCTCCTCCCAGGGTGTGTCATAAATCACATTCTCCAACGGAGCACTTTTGCGGGCTGTAGAGATCATGTCTCTCCCCGGCTGGTTTCTGGTAATCTGGGATACAGCCTTGAGAAAGGTATGCGTGGAATGTGCTTCTGGTTGTAGCTGCCATGCTGCTCCGTCAGTTTCACCCCCTCCTGCCTATGGCAACTCGAGAGCAGGCCAAGGATGCTTTACGAGTTGACAATGTGATTGTGATTTGGGTGCTTGGCAACCATCAGACATTTATGACGGTTGCAGTTCATAAATGGTCACTTGGTCACCATCTGTGACCTTCCCAGATGACTTCCAACAAGGGAAGTCAATGAGGTGTCAGCCATCCCATTTGGCATATTCAGCAAAAGAAACTCTTTCGATGAACCAACAGTGTAACTTTATTGAAAGATCCATCCAGGCCAGGGGGATCAAAGTCAAGGCCTACGGGCCAGATCCAGCCTGTGAAGTGCTTAGATCTGGTTGCCCTGGAAACAGCAAAGGACCGGCCCACTGTGCCTCTGACAGCGTACGTCGCCCCCACTACCGCCCCGGGCTTCGTTTTCGCTGGCAGAGGGCTAACAAAACCAACTAAAAACAAAACAAAAGGAGAAATGTTTCCCCTTTTGCATTTGAGCATGCAAGAAGGGACAGGAAAGGAGAAAGGGAAAGAGGAAAAAACAAAGAAAAAGAAGGGAAGATGGGAAGAGAGCAAGGAAGGAAAAATAAGGAAAGTGGGGAAGGAATAAGAAAGGAGAATGAAGAGGGAAGGAAAAAGAAGAAGAGGGAGGGAGGAAGGAAGGAAAGGAGAATGAGAGGAAGGAAGGAAGGAAATGAGAATGAGAGGAAGGAAGGAAAGGAAGGAAGGAAAGAAGGAAGGAAGGAAGGAAAGAAGGATGGAAGGAAGGAAGGAAGGAAGGAAGGAAAGGAAAGAAGGAAGGAAGGAAGGAAGGAAGGAAGGAAGGAAGGAAGGAAGGAAGGAAGGTAGGTTATAATGAGAGGGAGGGAAGTCCTGCCTTAGCATTTGGCCACTAGAGGTGCCCTTGACACGAGTGACGTTGAGCTGGCCACTCCCCCTGCCCCCCCCGAGGTCAAACACAACCCTAATGCGACCCTCAATGTAATCGAGTTTGACACCCCTCATGTAAGCACAGCAGAAGCAAAGTCAGTTCTGGGATTTTTCTGCCAAAACCCACATAGGTAACTCCCTTTTTCTCTTCCGGGCCATCCACAGTTCATAATCCACCAATTGAGTGCAGTTCTTTTGTTTTGGGAAAAACTGTCTGTGCTGCTCAAACATTCTTCATAACTTGACCTTGGTGGATAATGTCTCAATGGCAACAGAAGGCTCTCGTGAATTCCATAGCCTTCCTCCACCCATAGGAATTCACCATCCTCCTCCCGTCACTGTTTGGCAAAACTGAAAGCGAAACTATGGAGTCGAGTCGGACTTGACATGGGGAAGCTGGCAGAGAAGTCATGGTCACACGATGTCTCACTTAACAACCGTGGTAATTTGTTTAACGACTGCCGCAAAAAGATTATAAAATTGGGTGCAGTTGTGCAATGCCTTGCTTAATGACCACTTTCCTCAAACATAAATATTAGTACCGCTTTGACTTACAACCGTTCGTTTAGTGAACCCTCGAAGTTATACAAACGCACTGAAAAAATGACTTATGACCATTTTCCACACTTACGACCATTACAGCATTCCCCGTGTGATTTACATTTGGATGCTTGGCAACTGACTCACATTTATGACGGTCACAGTGTCCCGGGGTTACGTGACCCCCTTTTGCGACCGTCTGACAAGCAAAGTCCACGGGGAAACCAGATTCACTTACGAATTTAAGGGCTGCAGTGAGTCACTTCACAAAGGCATTGAGAAAAGTTGTAAAATAGGGCAAAACTGACTGAACAAATTTCTCGCTGAAGAACATAAATGTTGGGCTCAATTGCAGTCGTAAGTCAGGGACTACCTGAATAACTTTAGGGTTCTGCAACAATTGGAACCCAAGGCTGGATGAAGGATGCTGATCTATCCTTCCAACCAGCCAGCCTCTTTTCTCCTGAATCTTTGGAGCATTAAATCCTGATCTCTCTGTGTAATTACAGGAGAAAGTTGTCAGGAACAAGAACACAGTTTAAGTAAGTGCTGCTGTCGTTCTTTTAAAGCTTTAATGGGGCCATAATAGTCTCTCACGCATCAGCATAGCATCATTCTCAAGGTCAAATGCATCCAATTGCGGAGGACCAAATAAATTTAAAAGGAAAAAAAAAGAAGTGTTTGTATGGAATAAAACAGGCCCATGGCTGAGTGAAGTCAGGATAGCACCATTCTTCCCACAACCCTTTAAAAAACTTTTAAGGAGCGTAGATATCTCTCCACCATTGCATTGGCTCGCTCCGCCGCCCCATTGGTACTTGGATGGAACGCAGAACTAAGTCCTTGATCGGTTCCTATTTGTCGTAGGAACAGTTTCCAGAATCGGGCAGTAAAAAACTTTTTTTAAAAAAGTGGAGAAGAGACTTTTTAACAGTTTAACAGAGTTGGAAGGGACCTTGTAGGTCATGTAGTCCAACCCCCCGCCCAAGCAGGAGTCCCTACACCATTTCTGACAGATGGCAGTCCAGTTTCTTCTTGAAAGCTTCCAGTGATGAAGCTCCCACAACTTCTGAAGGCAACTTCTGTTCCACTGATGGATTGTTCTTACTGTCACTGGTTTTGCCAAAAGCCGGCATTTACTTTCTGTTTTTGGCAAAACTGGCCCATAAAGAATCATTGGTTCACTTAACAACTGTGAAGTTTACTTAAACAACCATCACAAAAAAAGAGTCTGAAATTGGATCAGTCATGTGGGTGATCCATTTGCGGCCATCACAGCTTTCAACCCTAATGGGCAGTCTGCTCGTAAGTCACCTATACATAGAATTCTGATCAAGCTTCTCTCTCAAAGATTTCATCCTAATTCTTTTTTTTAAATAGATTTTTCAAAAATGTATTTAATGACCCACATAATCCCTTGTGGGGTGGAGTCTGGGCAAATGAATGGAGCTAGCAGAGCGTTTTAATGGCCAGATGCCATTCCTGTCGCCAATGCGGAGTTATGTTCAGCAGATATATTCTCAGTGCGCCCAGAGAGAGAAATAGCTGCCTCTACCTAGGATCGAACTCACAGCCTCCTGATTGTGAGGCGAGAGCTCCAACCTCTAGGCCACCACACCACTCTTATTGAAAGCTTTATAAGGAGCATAAAAAATAATACAAACTAATAAGAAAAAACAGACAAGGAAGGAAAAAGAAGGGGGAAAAAAGGCAGGAAGGAAGAATTAAAAAGCAATCGAAAGAAGAATGTTCCTTTTTCCTTTTCAGCAAATACAACGTTATTGTGAAGTTTCCGAAAGATGCCCTAATTAATTCATGAGCCGTGAGCCGAACTTCAAAAGAAATACAGTCATTTATTAGGAGCACCATTTCGGCAATATTCGGATGCAGTTAGAACTAATCTCACTTAGATTTACGTTCCCCTATGACCCTGTCTCTCCCCTCCTCTCTGGCCATGTCATAAATCACATTCTTCAATTAACCACTTTGGCTGGCTGTGAAATCCAACACCCTCCTTCTGATTGCGGTCAGGAAGAATGTATGGAATGCACTTCAGTTAGGAAAATCAATCAGCTCTATCAGTTCTCCCTCCCTCCTGCTCATGGCAATTTGAAAGCTTTGCAAGTTGACAGTTATCTCCTTACTCTATGATTACAAAAGAAAACTTTTTTCCTATTATCCAAGTTTTTTTCTTCCCCTAACCATCAAAACCCCCAAATCATAATTCCCTTCTTTTTATAACATATTCTTTCTTTTATATATATATACATATAATTTTATTCATAAACATTTTTGAATACAGTGTATTGTCAGCGTATACCATTTACAAGAAAAAAAGGCCAAATAGAAAATAGTAATAAACATTAACACATGAACTGATAACAGTAATAATAATATAATAACACATGTACTGAGAATAATAGTAATATTATATCCAAATAATTTTAACTAAGTTTCTTTTTATATTGGCTTATTTACATTTTTGGTGATTATGGTGATCTGAGAATATCATTCTCAGAGATTCTTCCCATCCTGCCTATAATCTTTTTGGACTGTTGCCTTCTGGCAGAAGATACAGAACAATTAAAACTCGGACCACAAGTTTTCTGAATAGTTTTTATCCCAGAGCTATAATTGCACTCAACAATGAACTAAAGGGCCACCATCGGTGAGCTGTTGGACAGCATTACTTGGTCTGTTGTGTGGATGTTTGGGTGGTTTAGGGATGGGGAATTGTGGTAGGTGG